TCTGCCACTGAGATCAGTCCCAGCAACTCGGCGCCCCACCCCCCCATATCGGCCCGCAGGACTCTGTTCAGCCCGCCCCACCTGTTCCTGGGCCGGCGCGGGCTGTGAATCCGAGAATTTATTCTCCAGGAGGGATTGGCGGCCGGGCGGGGCGGGGCCTGCGGCGGGCACGTGTGCGTGGGGCGGGGGCCTGCGGGGAGGCGGGGCCTGCGGCGGCCGCGGGAGCGCCGGGGGGGCGGGGCCTGCGGCGGCCACGTGTGCGCGGGAAGCAGGAAGTGGCGGCGCAGCGGAGCCGGCGGGGCCCATGGAAGCGGACGGGGGCGGCCGTGGCGCCCTCGTGAGTCGGCTTTTCCCTCCTTCCGCGTCTGCGGTGGGGCCGAAGGCCCGGGGCCCACAGTACAAGAGAGTGGGCCCTGGAGCTGGAGGAGCGCCCCGGGGCCGGAGGGTCTGGGAAGCCCACCCGGGAGGCTCTGCGGGCGGCCGGGGCACGAGAGGACCCCCAGTCCCCCCGTGAGGGCCGCGGACGGCCAGGACGCGCTCGGGCCTCCGGCCTCCTCCTTCGGCCCCGCCCGGTGGGGTGGGGGCGCGGGAGCCGAGGCGGCTGCGGTCCGGCTGCATCGAGGCCCCTCCCACTCTCTCCAGGACTTAACCTGGGAATCTGGTTAGACCTGCAGCGGGTCTGGGCGAGGCCCCCGGGATGGGGCATCTCTTAATCACGTCCTGGGTCTGCAGCTCTGGTTTGAGTGGCGGGGTGCTGGAGAACTTGTCCAAGTCCTACCCGCCCACACCTCAGTCCTCCTGCTGGCTTCCACTGTGGGGGGGGGGGGGTCCATGCTCGGGTGTGTTTGTGTATGTGTGTGTGTGTGTGTATCACTGAGGCCCGTGCCCCACCCCACCCTGCAACAACACCACCATTTCATCTTCCCAGGTGACGGTCAGAAGGCGAGCAACAGGTTTAAAGAAAGGGAAAAGGAAAAACAAATATCCCCTTAGAGAGTATCACCTCCTGGGGCTGCTGTAGCAGAATGTGCAGGTGGATGAAGTGGTGTTGCCTTCTATTTATTTTATTTTTGTGTTGATAATGGGGCTTGAATTCGGGGCCTTTCATTCTTGCTTGCCTTTTCCACTCATGGCTGGCAAATAACACTCGAGTCACACCTCCACTTCCAGCTTTTTGCTGGCAAAAAAAATAGGAGATAAAGAGTTTCAATAGTTTGTCTTGCCTGGGCGGGCTTCAAACCTCAGATCCTCATCCTCACATTTCCGCCACACTGAGTAAGCTAGCTTACGGAGTGTGAACCACCAGTACGTGGTGATACTGGACTTTGAACTCACTAGCTTGCTTAGTGAACGCTCTACCACTCGAGTCAGCCTCCAGCCTGGCTCTTTGCTAGTTATTTTTGGAGATGAAGTCTCATGGACTTTTATGCCTCCGCTGGCTTCCAACAGTGATCCTCCTGAGTAGCTACTGTGACAGGCATGAGCTACTGTTGATATTGGCCTTTTTTTTTTTTTTTTTAAGGATTCTTTCTTGTGCTAACTCATAGTAGTTTATGATATTAATATCCAGCCCAGGAGGAAATATGTGCCTCCATTATGTGAGCAAGCTGTTTGGCTGTGCAGTGGCTGGTTCACTTCCTGGTCTCCATGTTAGAAACACCTTTTGTTGTCTTGGGACTCTAATAATGTCCTTGCCAGCCCTATGCAGGGCAGGACTCACCTGCCAGCTCTTAGTCTGGTAGAAGTTGGTCCCCTGTAAGTGAGGTGCTTCCCATTTTCTTACAGAAAGGATCCCCCACAGGAATGGATAAGAGTCTGGTGAAGAAGTCCGGAGTTTCCCCTGAGATTCCACACTCCTAAGCAGCTCCCAAGGGGCACTTGTGCTGCTGGGTTCTTGGACCATCTTGAAACAACAGATGGAAGAGACTTCTCTGAGGGGCGCTGGCTTGCATCTCCTCTGTTAAATGCTGCTCCTCAGGGAGTGACAGGATGTGGCCTTGGACTTCCTTTGTGTCTCCTTCTCAGATGCTTAGTTATTAAAGGGGAGTAGGAGCACCTGAGAGCTTCCTCCTGTCCCTAGCTCACAGAATCCACTTTGACTTTGGCTTTGTTGGTTTTTTTCAGAAGTTATCAAAGGCACATTGGACTACAGAAAGAACCAAAGGTGTTTGTATTCTGACCAGTCTTAGGTGATGAGAACTCAGAGGGTGATAGCTCTGCGCCTGTCTTTGGAAATGTTGGAAATTTTATCTGCAAGCAGCTAGATGTAGGTGATGTGTGTAATGTTCCAGATGTTTTATTTCTGGGGGCAGTAATGGGGTTTGAAGTCGGGTCATTGTGCTTGCTGGGCTGGTGTTCTACCACGGAGCCACACCTTCAGCTCTTTTTTCCTTGGTTACTGAGGCTTGAACTCAGGGCCTGAGTGCTGTCCCTGAGCTTTTTCTTGCCTAAGGCTGGTGCTCTACTACTTGAGCCACAGCTTTGCTTTCAGCTTTTTTGCTGGTTAGTTGGAGATAAGAGTCTTACAGACTTTTCTGCTTAGGCTGGCTTTGAACTGCCATCATCAGATCTCAGCTTCCTGACTAGCTAGGAGTATATGTGTGAGCCACTGGCATCTGGTGCCTTGTTTATTTTTATGATGAGATCTTGCTTCCTGCCCAGGCATATCCCTGAGCCACTCTTTACCTAATTTAGGCCTCTTGTTGTTGCTGGGTTCATAGGTTTGTGCCATTATATTAGCTTCTTAGGTTGAAATGAAAGCTTGTGACTTTTTCTGCCTGCAATCATGATTCTCCCAGTTTCAGCCTCCCCACATATCTTGAGATGACACATACGAGCTATTACACTCAGCTGTGGGTTGAGAAAGAGTCTTGAGAACTTTACTGCCTAGGCTGGCCTCAAACCATGATCCTTCCATTCTCAGCTTCTCAAGTAGCTTGGATTACAGGCATAAGCCAACAGCTTAGTCAGATGTCTTAGTTTAAAAGCAAACACAGTACACTCCTTTAGGCTGACTTGTCAAGATGATGATGCAAAGAGTGGCTTTTAAAATATCTGTTTTCTTTAATTGGTATTGAGGCCATATTGGGCTGTGTTTAGATTAGGGGACCACATTTTAAGTCCATAACATGCTCTTTTTCTCAGTTTTCCTTACCTGGGCCCACAGTCGTTCCTAGGTTTGAACCTGGCTGAGCTCCATGGCATAGGCCCTATCCTCCTTCTCTGGTTTCATTTAGACTCAGGAGGGGTGGTGCCTTTGCTCTTGATTTGCAGGCCCAGGGCTTCTGTCTGTCTTGTGCCAGCCTTGGCAGAACTGGCCAGGTGGGGTCAGATCCAGCCCTGTGGGTACTGAAGGCCAGGGATAGCTGAATGAGGCCTTTGAGTTGAAGTCCTGAGACCCCATGTTTGTGTACCAGAGCACAGGGCTGTTCAACAAGTGGTTTTCTCTGCTCTGGAACTTTCCATAGGGAGAGGTGTAACTTGCTATGGCTTCAGAGCTAGGATTTTCAGCATGTTAAACTCTGGTGGCGATTCTCTGGGCCTAGACAAGAAGGAAGGACACTCCTCTTTCTTGGTGGGCAGTGGCTTTAGGTCAGCTTCATCGCAGATGAGATGCTGCATTGGCCAAGGGTGCTGCCATTCGTGTCTGTTTTCTTGTCCTCACCTGTCCTGCCCAGGTAAGCTGGCTCCTTCTGAGTCAGCAAAGCCCCGTTTGCCAGGAATGCTGGCTGTGGAAAAGCATCACCTCTGTTTTCAAGCCACAGGATAGAAAAGATGAGGGAGCCGGGCCATATGAGCAGCAGAGGTGCGTGTGCAGGTGGGAGGGGTTGAGGAAAGCCTCCCTACGCAAGTTGGCATCAGGTGGGCCACACAGGATGCTCTGGGTTCTGGTGCTGGGGCTATGGAAGGAAGGAATTCCAGGATGGAAGTACATGAGCAGAGGCTCGGGGTAGGACTGGTTGCAGCTTGGTGAAGGTGTCACAGAATTAAGCTGCGGTATGGTACCTGGGTGGGGACAGTGGAGACTTAGGCTCCAAGAGCCCATGGAGAGATGGAAGCGGAACTTACCCTGCAGCCAGCCAGGGACTGCTGAGGGGTGATTGGAAAGTAGATGGAAGAGGTTTAAAGAGGAATTAGAGCCTGTCACTTGTATCTGCAGGAGACGGGATAACTGACAGGACGGTTGTGACAGGTCTTCTGGAGCCCTCTTTCTTCCTCCAGGCTACACAATCTACATTCGCTGAGCTTTTTTAAAATTTAATTTTTGTTTTAATTTTGGCAGCAGGTACTGGGCGTAAGCTCAGGGCTTCGTGCTCTTGCTTGGCTTTTGCATTCATGGCTGGCTCACTGCCATTTGAGCCACACCTTCAGTCCAGCTCTTTTGCTTGTTAATTGGAGATAAGAGTCTCACAGACTTTTTTGTGTAGGTTGTCTCTGACCAGCAATCCTCAGGAGAAGCTAGGACTACAGATGTGAGCTGTTGGTGCCTGAGATTTCTTCTATTTAGGAATTACTTCTCAACATAGCAACCTCTTATGAGGCCTCTATGCCCCTCTCCCCCCCCTCCTCTGCCCCCCTCCTGTCAGGATTGGGGCTTGAACTCAGGGCCTCTTGCTCTTGCTTGAGCCATACATCTACTTCTGTTTTTTTTTGCTGGTTACTTGGAGATAAGAGTCTGACACATTTTTCTGCCTGGACTGGCTTTGAACCTCAATCCTCAGATCTTAACCTCCTGAGTAGCTGGAATTGCAGGCATGAGCCACCAGTGCCTGGCAGAAGGCCAGGCCTCTCTTTAGGGGTCCCATATCTCCTTTCAGAGTTAGATGACTTCTAGTGCCTGGGAACCTGAGGAGTTAGATATTGGTCAAGGGATCCTAGCCTAGTGTGACAGGCATGCATACTGCCACCCCAGATGGAGGCTAACCCAGGCAGGGGGGCTAGGACGTGTGTGCCATCGAAAGAGCCCTCTGATGGCTGACCTCTGGCTCTTCTGCCCACAGCTGTGTCAAGCATGCTTCAAGGCTACAGCTCAGTATTCCAGGCCTTACTGGGGACCTTCTTCACCTGGGCTCTGACAGCAGCTGGAGCTGCTCTTGTCTTCATATTCTCTTCTGGACAGGTGAGGAACTTTTGGCTTGACTTGGGTTGTAGAAGTTCTTGGGGACCCTGGCACAGGCTGTGAAACCAGCCCTCTCTGTGCGATGTCCCTGGCTGCACTTGCAGGTGATGGTGGTCAGGTTTGTCCTTGTGGTACCTGGTGCTAACATGGGCTTTGAACAGCCTTCATCCCTCCCCTGCCTCTTCCAACCCCAATTCAGCCGATGGCAGTGAGAAACCAGTAAGTCAGCCTCCTCTCACCCACTGCTTTGGTCCTTGCTTACCTGTAATTTCTTCAGGCCTGAAGTAGGCTGTGTTACTGACCAGTCCATGGGGGTGGGGAAGGATCTGCTTCCTTTCTTGTCTACGCAGCTTTTTGTGGCTTTTCTTCCCTTGGGTGAGTACAGAATAGCCCACTTCCCTTTCCCCCTGAAGACCGTTAACCTATCCACCCATATCCCACTCATCTTTTCTGTATCCCCTTCATACTCTCAGTACTCTCAGGCCCTGTGTGCACCTCTATCCCTCACATCTCTCTCTCCCTCTACACCCCACATCTTTAAATACCTACCACCCAACTCCACATTCGCCCATAGCCCCTTCTACCCCATACACCCTGTACAACCTACATTCACCTATGCCTGAGATCTGCTCTCCTCACCCCTAGCTCCCTCTGTCCCCAGTCCCTGCATTGTTCAGCTCGCACCTGTAGAACTTTTAGGGACAAGCTGGGCACTGGTGGCTCAGGCCTGTAATCCTAGCTACTCAGGAGGCTGAGATCTGAGGATCGAGGTTCAAAGCCAGCCCAGGCAGGAAAGTCCATGAGACTCTTTATCTCCAGTTAACTACCAGAAAACTGGAAGTGGCGCTGTGGCTCAAGTGGTGGAGTGCTTGCCTTGAGGTGAAGAGCTGAGGGACAGACAGTGCCCAGGCCCAGAGTTCAAGCCCCAAAACTGCAAGAAAGAAAGAAGAGAGAGAGAGGGAGGGAGGGAGGGAGGGAGGGAGGGAGGGAGGGAGGGAGGGGAAGAAAGAGAAAGAAAGAAAAGAAAGAAAGAAAAAAGAACTCTTAGGGATTGCATGTGAGTAACTGACTTTAGCCTATTTTGACCCACTGAGTGATGGATCTGAGAAGGAAAACAGGAAGTTGGCAAGGCAGGCATCTGCATTAAAGACCAATCATGTAGACGCCAATCTCAATGATGAGATCCTGTCTCCACACACTGCCTGCCTCCTCATCTCTTGGAGGAGGTTGGAACCAACCCATCAGTTCACACTACACAGCCTGGCAACTTGGAGGGCCAGGATGCCCAGAGATGTCATCGTTCACAGAAATAGACAGGAGAATGAAGGTTGTTGGGGCAGGAAGAGGATGAGAGGATGATACATTGTTGTTGACTGGGTGTAGAGTTGTGCACATGGCTGGCCCATTTCACTACTGTAATGTCCTTTGGGCTCACTCGTGATGTCCTTTGTGCTAGAATTTACTTCATTTTTAATGCTGAGAATATTCCATTGTATGTATATTCCACATTTTATTTCTCTGTTCTTGTACAAATTGACACAAAAAACAATTTGTGTGTGTGTGTGTGTTGGTGCTAGGACTAGAACTTAGGGCCTGGAGACTGAATGTTTTCCACTTAAGGCTGGCACTCTGTTACTTGAGCCACAGCTCCACTTCCAGCTTTTTTGGTGGCTAATTGGAAATGAGTTTCATAGACTTTCCTGCCTGGACTGGGTTTGAACCATGATCCTCAAATCTCAGTTTCATGAGTATCTGGGATTACAAGTATAAACTACTAAAGCTCCCCCCCCCCCCCCCCCCCCCCCCCGGGACTGTTGATGTTCTTGAGTTTTTTGTTCAAGCCTGGTACTCTGTCACTTGAGCTACACCTCCACTTCTGGCTTTTTGGTGGTTAATTGGAAGTAAGAATGCCATGGATTGTCTTCCCTGGGCTGGTTTTGAACCATGATCCTCTCATCAGCTCAGGTGTGAGCCAGTGGTTGTCCTGGGCTTTCTGGTTTTCTTTTGACCCAGGATACCTCCTCTTGTCCCTAGAAAATTGAAACAACATCTTTTCCTTTTCAGAGGCGGATCCTAGATGGAAGTCTCGGCTTTGCTGCAGGGGTAAGTTGCATGTAGCAGGGGAAATGTTGATGGAGCCATGTCTATTGTGGCCTTTCCGTGCCATGGGCTATTACCAGTTTGTTCCCTCATGATCGAGATGTGTCTAGTTCTTTCTCTAAGTGCTAATGCTCTGCCTTCCTGTCCCCAGTCATATTTATTTTCCAGTTGATTGATGCTCCTGCTTCTCTGATAGTGAAAGAGTGCCGCTTGGCAGCTGCCTAAAGACTTGGGAAATTAGGTAATATTTAGGAACGGCTTAGCATGGACCCAGCGTGATACATAGTTAGGACTAATTAAATGTCCACTTTTTTCTCCTTCCTCTGTAAAGGAGGATTATTACAGATATGCTGTACCAGGGTTTTAATTCAGTGGCTTGCTTGCTTAGCTAGTTTTAATGATTCCAGCCCAGCCTTTTGCTGGTTATTTTGGAGATGGAATATCTTGGACTTACTTGCCTGGAGTTGGCCTCAAACTGAGATCCTTTAGATCTCAGCTTCTTGAGTAGCTAAGATTACAGGGTGTGAACCACCAGTGCTCTGCCAGATACTTTCAAACGTAACAAAATAGAAAGAATCCTAAGGTATCACCTAGGTACTGCTTTTCTACCTTCAGTCATCACTGACATTCCTTTCCCTCTACAGCCTTCCTGGGATAAAAAATAGTTAGATTATTTTTTAAAGTTAGACATCATGTAATTACACCTGTAAATTTAATGTGTATATATATTAATATATATGTGTGTATATATACATATATACACACATATATATACATATATACACATATGTATGAATAAATGACTTAAAACATCACCTTGACCTCAGGATACCTACAAAAATTAGCAATAATTTCTTGCTACAGCCCCTACCATATTCAGATGTTCTCCATCTTTTCAGCGGGGCTTTCTAAGATTGTTTTGCAAGGACTAGGATCTAAACATCATCTCCTGTTGCATTAGTTTAATAATCAGTCTCCCACATCTCTTTTATTCTTCAGCAGACCTGTTGTGTGTATAAGCTGTTTGTTGGAAAAACTGGCTCAATTGTCTATAGAATTTTGCTGATTGTTTCCTGTATAACTTGTTCCTCCATCCCCTATATTTTCTGTAACCTAGGAGTCAGATATAATGCTTGGTAATTGAGAATTTATATATATATATATATATATATATATGTACTAAATATGTGTATATATATGTATTTAATATTAGAGGTTGAACTCAAGGCCTTGTGCTTGTGAGGCAAGCATTCTACCTCTTGAGCCACATTGTCAACCCTTTGTGCTTTTATTAATTTTTTGATCTAGGGTTTTACATTTATGCCTGGACCAGCCTAGACTATGATCCCCCCCCCCCCCCCCCCCCCCCCCCCCCCCCGGTCTTTGGTCATGGAGCTTGAACTCAAGACCTGGGCACTGTCCCTGAGTTCTTTTGTTCAAGTTTAGCACTCTACTAGTTTGAGCAACAGCTCCACTTCCAGTTTTCTGGTGGTTAATTGGAAATAAGAGTCTCATGGTCTTTACTGCCCAGGCTGGCTTTGAATTATGATCCTCAGATCTCAGCCTCCTGAGTAGCTAAGATTACAGGCATGAGTCACCAGTGCTAGGCTGGGCTATGATCTTCCTATTTGTGTTTCCTTGATAGCTGAGATGATGGGCATGTCCCACTGTACCTCGCTCTTTGTTAGTTGAGATGGGGTCTTGCAAACTTCTTGCTTGAGCTGACCTCTAGTTGCCTGACCTCAGCCTTCTGTGTAGTCAGTTATCTATAGTCATGAGCTCACTGTACCTGATTATGCATAGCTTGGTACTGCTATGTGTTCAAATTGCACTGGTCACATCAGAAGGTGCATACTCGTGTTTGTCCAGGGTTTGACTTTTTTCTGCTGTACTGGTGATCTGTCCTGGGAGCTGGAAAGACTTGCTTTGGGGCATGAGGTCCCAGAGGTTATCAGGTCAGCAGCTGGGAGACAGGGTCCTATCATAAGGAGCAGTGCAGCATGTCAGGTTCAGATCCAGTGGTAAAGGATAGCAGTTCACAGTAGTAAATACAGTCATGCAATTGAATATTTTTGTAGGAGGAGAAGGAGAACAATGAAGGTCCCCAAAGATAGCTAGATGAATTTGGAGGGGCTGAAACATAGAAGTGCCTTGTTTCTCTTGTCTTTGCTTAGATGGTATGTCTTTTTGGTAAAGGCTTGAGCCTGATGTTTTGGTAAGATTCCACTGGGAATTTCCACGTCAATGCACATTCTCTAAAAGCAAGAAATACTTGCGTGCAATAAATAGGATCATGAAACTGCAGTAGAGAAAGAGGCCACCAGTTTGGAAGCTTTGTCCTAGGCATGGAAAGGCAATTCAATACCGATTATTTTAACCTGTGGGGAGCTGATTGCTTAGAAAAGATGTGATTTTCTCGAGGAGATTTTGGCCAGATCTGCTTTTGTACAGCAAATAGCGAATCTTGTTTTCTCTAAGTGACTGGCTCACTGCTGGAAGTTAACGATGCCCTCCCATGATGGCCTTTGAGTCTGGAGCAATGCTGGTAGCCAGCCGCTCCCCTTTCCAATGAGAGCTGGGTGGGAGAGTTCAGGGAGGACAGTTCAGCCAGGGCCACTGGAAAAGTTTATTCTAGAGTAAATAGGAGAGGGGGAAGGTCCAGGCGAGGAACAGCCATTAAATTGGGTTAACAGAAATCTTAGCTTTTATACTTTCCTATCTACAGACTCAGGACTGAGAAATGATTGCTGCTGTTTTCTTTCTTAGCTTCTGAGAGGTAGAGGCCTGATGTGTTCTAAGGGAGAAATGTGGTCTTTGGACCACACTGATGTGGACGGGCCAAGGCCAAAGTCCCATAGGATGTGGCAGGAAGGGATAAGCAAGGTCCTGGAGCCTTGTGCTCCCCGAAGATCATCACAGACTGTTCAAGCCATGGCTTTCTCCTTATCAGATGGTGAGTCACCAAGGACTCCAAGATGGCCTCCTAGGGGTGAAGCTCTGAGTTAGAGTAGTCTTCACTGAGAGCAGGTTCTGTCCCTAGTGTCCCTCAGATCAGGCAGGTCACCTCAGAGGTTTTGGGATGGTTGTCCAATATAGAGCTTCTCTCTTAAGCTTCTGTTTTAAAAATTTGAAGAGCTAGGGAGCCCCTGGGTGGGCCTGCTAGATTCTACTTCCTGCAGGTTTTCATTTTGTACTTGGATAATGATGGGGTTGGGGGAGGCAGGGGTGTCTTTTGTCTAACTTGGAGGTAAGACTGCTTTCTAGGTGGGCACTTTCTTTTTCTTTCTCCTTTCCTTTTCTTTCTTTTCCCCTTCCTTCCTCCTTCCTTCCTTTTCTCCCCTCCCTCCCACCCTCCCTTTTTCTCTTTTTCTCTTTCTCTGTTTTTCTTGCTTTCTCTTTCTTTTCTCCTTTCCTTCCTTTTTTTCCCTTCCCTCCTTCCCTCTCTCCCTCCCTCCCTCTCTCCTTCTCCCTCTCCCTCCCTCTCTCCCTTCTTCTCTTCCTTCCTCCCCCCTTCTTTCTTTTTCTTTCTGTGCCAGTCCTGGGGGCTTGAACTTAGATCCTGGGCACTATCCTTGAGCTTTTATGCACAAGGTTGGTGCTCTACCATTTGAACATAACTCTTCCTCTGGCTTTTTGGTGGTTTATTGGAGATAAGAGTCTCACAGACTTTCCCGCCAGTCTGGCTTTGAACTGTGATCCTTAGATCTCAGCCTCCTGAATAGTAGGATTATAGGTGTGGGCCACTGGCACCGTGCCCCTTTTGTCTTTCTAAGCTCTTGAACTGTCACCCTTACCCCCCAAATCCTAGTGGTTTCTGTGGGCTTAAGGACATTGTGATGATATCACTGTGCCTTGCTCCTCCCCAGCATGACCCCACAGAACAAGTCCAGTGCCTCCTGACTCCTGACCCTTCTGTCTTGCTGTCAGGAGAGAGAGTAGCAAGGTGATGGAGGCTAAGGAGGAGGAGAACCTCGTAGGAAGGAGACAGATTAGTATTATTGTATTTTTTTTCTTTTCAATTTCATGCTTCAAATTTCCAGTGCCTTTCCAAACAGTGTGGGGGAGAAAGTGACATATCTCACCTCCTTTTCCTGGTGATGGAAAGTCACAGCATTCGTCTTGGCAAAAGAGCCCTGTGCATTCCCTTTGCTCTGCTGGGAACCTGTGGTGTACCCTTGAGGTCTGCCCACAGTCTGCCCAGAATGGCCACTTCCACCACATCCTTACTCTGTTCTTTGTTTCCTCTCTCCATGTTTGTACTCAGGCTACATGGGTGGTTCATCACTGGCCTCCGTTTTCTCAGCCTAGAAAGACTGCCTCTTTCCTGCCCTGCCTTGCAGGCCTGGGCCTGCTGTACAGAGCAGCCAGGGTCTCCTCTTTTGGGCACATCTATCTCTTCTTGTTTGGGCATCCTTTCCTGTTCTTAAAAGAAGTGGGGAGGTGCATGTAAATTGATGAGTAGAAAGAAAAGAAGGACTAGAGATTCAGATACCACCATCCAGTGTCAGCCCACTGAAGTCACACGGTGTGCAGTTGTCCCAAGTGAATTCATCTAACCTGACTGGCTCCACATATCAGCCATTCACACATCCATCCATCCATTCGTCCCTCCATCCATTCATTCACACGTCCATCCATCCATCCATCCATCCGTCCATCCATCCATCCATCCATCCATCCATCCATCCATCCATTCATTCACACACCGATCCATCCATTCAGCATTTGTAGAGAATTGTTCTCTTGCAGGCACTGTGTCCAGTGCTAGGTAGTTGAGGAGGGAAAGGAAAGCTTCTGTTTTATAGGATATTTTGATCAAAAAGACAGGTATATGAACTGCACTGATGATGGTCACAGTCGAGCTGTTTTACTTAACTCATTATTTATTCATTTATTTCCTTAAGTAATTGTTTCCATTTAACATGTCAGTTTATGAGTACCATGCATCTTGATCAGTGTCATCCCTTTTATCATTTCCTCCCATTTCTCCCAGTCCTACCCAG